ATTCAGTCAAAATGAAGAAAAATTTAGAGCCACTTCGCGCCAAAAGAGGCGGTTATCGCGGCGTGACAACCAAGCTTATAAAAGAATCACTCGAGATTCTTGAGTCAACCGATGTAGATATTCAACGATGCGAAGTTATTTCAAAACAACTCGAAGATAAAATTACGATTTTAAAAGAATTAAACGACGAAATTGTTGGTATATGCGAAGTAAGCGAGATAGAACACGAAATGGAAGAAGCGGCGGTCGTTATTGACCGAATTCTGAGCACGAAAAGCAACATCGAAGCAGCAAAGAAAATGCCAAATGTGGGAAACGTTAGCGTTGTCACATCACCGACCATTAATGCCTCAACTCAAATTGAAAACAGCTTGAATATGAGCGAAAATACAGGTAATTTAGCGACCAACAGTGAAAATAGCGTGACAGATAATAGTGTAAACAGTGCGAGGAATGTTGACACTAATACAAGTAATATTGCAACAAGTAATATTAATACGAACACGAGTTCGCCGAATGTCAGCGCCCCCGTTAGTCCTGTCAGTGTGCCAACATCGTTGGCATTGCCGAGACTGCCAAAGCTCGAACGTCCAAAATTTAGTGGGAAAGTTACTGAGTGGAGTTCTTTTTGGGACTTATATAACACTGCAATACATAGCAATATACTAGTGTGTCTAAAGTAAACAATTTCAATTATTTATTTTCCTTGCTTGAGGGGAATGCTGCACGTTCAATAAAGGGACTTACACTTACATCTGCCAATTATGATGCAGCAATCGAAATCTTTACTAACAAGAAAGATTTGGCAAAACACAGCAAATTATAGCTGCACACATGGACCAAATCTTAAGCAAATCCCAGCATGTTCTGAAGGCCGAACCGTATAGTTAAGATTTATTTTTGACAAAATAAGTGTGCATGTTCGTGGACTTGCATCACTGGGAATTGCCGCTGACCAATATGGTAGTTTATTGATCCCTGTAATTATGTCCAAATTGCCAAGCGAAATTAGGTTGCTTGTAGCACGTACAGCAACAGATAATGTTTGGAAAATCGATGATTTGCTCAAAACTATAAAGTCAGAGGTCGAGGCACGAGAGATGAGCGAGATGGCTCGCTCGAATGCAAGTGAGAAACCCCCCAGCAAAAAACAGGGCTCACTTCCAACTGTGGGTTCATTTGTCGTGACAAAAAATGGCAAGGACGGTGAAGGTAGTTTTAAGGTTAGCAGGGCCGCCCAGAGGTTGGCGGGGGCCCGGGGCTTTTTTTAGGGGGCCCTATCTAAAAAATTTTTTCCGGAAAAATTTTTTCCGGATATTATTTTGGCGACCTCCCCCCCCCCCCCCCCCCCCCCCCCCCCCCC